GTTACTGCTACAGCCCCATAATCTACTTCCCTGGTAGCAGTTTCCCTGCAACTTTACTCCTCACTTCCTACTATCTCGTTACCTGACATTTCAGCTTTACAACAACTTAGGATAAGAGTAAAAAAAATCTACTGTAGAGTTTACACATTAACAATGTACATATTTAGCAGTAATGAATGCTAAGGGGTGAGGCGGGAGTATTACTGGTTTGATGGTTAAAGTTATGTGTCACCTGGGTGGGCCATGATTCTTAGAGGTTGGGCAGTTTTGTAATGATTTGATCACCCTTCATTTTGTGATCGGATGTGAAGACGTACCATTTTTCAATAAACGTGGTTTTTGCATTAGTGAGGAGTAGGTACAGCTATTTTCCTGAAATCAGTTATCAATTCATTTCTGCTTCTAAGCTTCTGTTGGTTCTCTCTGCCCACACAGTAACCTCCAACCTACAGTCAGGCTACGAAACTGCCCTACCTCTGCACCTTGTTTCCTTCCTACCTTCATCCTTTCCAGGGTTCCCCTTGCCTCATAATTTCACCACTTCTGTCAGGGGTTTATTCTAACACCGCCCCAGTGTTTCAGGAATTCACACTTACTTCCTTTCAGGCTGTTCCCTTTTCTTCTCACCCCTTCTGCTCGCTTGAAAATGCCCTTCGCTGCTCAAGCATGTTTAAGTTTCACGTCCTTAATGAAGCTCTCCAAATTCTCCCAAGTAACTAGACACTGTTTATTTTGCTCCCAGAATGCTTTATATTTGCTACCGACTTTACTGTGTGGTTCTTTAATGTTTCTACTTACAGGCTTGTGTCTCATAGGACACTGTAAACTTTGAATATTAAAGATCAGGATGTTATTGTTAGTTGCCATAGACTTGGTTCCAATTCATCGATAGAATTGTTTAATAAATATTGACGGAATGAATGTAATGTTCACTCCCTTCCCCAGTGTTTCTGGTGTTAGTCCTTTTCTTTCCCTCTCTATATATTCCTAATGTACAATCAGCTGAACTTGGGATTCTAGCCTCTAAATCAGTGGTTCTCAACCTTCCTAATGCTTTCTATATATTCCTAATGTACAATCAGCTGAACTTGGGATTCTAGCCTCTAAATCAGTGGTTCTCAACCTTCCTAATGCCGCAACCCTTTAATACAGTTCCTCATGTGGTGGTGACCCCAACCATAACATTTTTGTTGCTAATTAATAACTGTGATTTTACTACTGTTATGAATCGGGCAACCCCGGTGAAAGGGTCATTCCACCCCCAAGGGGGTTGCAACCCACAGGTTGAGACCCTGCTGTAGAACAGCACTATTCAATAATGTAACCACTAGCTGCTTATGGTGATTGTACACTTGAAATGTGGCTACCCCAAATTAAAATAAACTGTGAGTATAGAGCACACACTGACTTTCTGCAAACTTAGTGTGAAAACAATCATGTCAAATATCTCATTAAAATTTTTATATTGATTATATGTGGAAGTGATACTACATTGGATACATTGGGTTAAATAAACTATTAAAATGAATTGCACGTTTCTTTTACCCTTTTTAAGATGTGGCTCTTAGGAAATTTACAATTAAACATGAGGTATGCATTACATTTTTATTAGCTATTGCCATAGCGCTTTAATACAGCCTGTGTTGAGTGTCTTGATGCTGTTCATCTTCTGCCTTTTTTTTTTTTAATTCTCCCTGTCCAAATGTTATCTGGAGGCAAAAATAAATAAATAGCACCGACTATAAGATGTTTGTTAGATCATTTCCCCAAGTGACTTTCTTATCATGCTGCTCTCCTGCTTAAGAAGTCCTGGTGGGAGAGTGGTGACACACGTGTGGGAGAAAGATGGCACTTTCTACTATTGTAAAGAGTTATGATCTGGGGAACTCACAGGGGCTGCTCTACCTGCGCTGTGGGGTCTCTGTGAGTCACTGCCCGTGTGTTTGGTCTGGCTTTATCCTGGTTAAAGAGCTTTATTGCTATTCATTGGTGTGGAGTCAACTCTTGACTGGTGGCGACCACGTGGGCAGAGTAGAGCTGCTTCACAGGTGCTGTGACCATTCACAAGCAGACCATCAGGCCTGTCTTCCGAAGCACTTCTGGTTAGGATTGTAAGGTCCTCCTTTTGGCGAGTAGTTGACCACTTAATATTTGCATCATTGGGGGATGCTAAGCTGCAAGTTTTCTCCTCTCAGCTGCACCAACGCCAGGCTGCTGTTTCCAGCTCTGCAAATCTTTCGTAACTCTCATATTATCCAGTTTTAGTTCTCATTCTTCTTCTAGAGTACCCCTGCATGCGCTTAGATGTTTTCCAAGCTACTTGATATCGTTGTAATTTGTGCATACTCTTTTTTCCCCTCTCATTATCTTTCTCCCCAGCAAAAGCCCTATCGACCTGGCTCATAAGCTTTCTCACTCACGAGTCCCCCTCTCCCTATTTACAGGATATATATGCCCATATATCTCTCTCAACCCACCCCCCAACAAAATAAAATAAACAAAACACCCAATTCACTACCACTGTGTTGAAGCCAACTCATTATGACCCTCTAAGGCAGGAAAGAGCAGAGTAGAACTGCCCCTGAGTTTTTGATACTGTAACTGTTTATCATAGTGGAAAGCCTGGTCTTTCGCCTGCTGAGCACTCTGGGGTTTCGAATTGCTTGACTTTGTGGATCACAGCCCAACATGTAACTACTATACCACCAGAGCTCCACATATCTCCCCCAAGTAATCAATTTTATGCCATAGCCTCTCAATTTAAGGTGTAATTTATTGTTATGGGCATCTTCATCACCATCATCATTCAACTTAATTTCATAAATATTTTTGAGTCCTTCTCACCACAAGGATAGGAACAAGTCATCTTGTGGCACAATGGTTAACCCATGAGGCTGTGATTCTAAAGGTTGGTGGTTCAAACACACCCAGCTCCTCCATGGGAGATTTCCCCCATAAAGATGACAGAGTAGAAAACCTCCCAGGTCCTTCCACTCTGTCACATGGGGTTGCTGTGAGATGAAAATCTACTCAGTGGACACTTAAAAAACAACAGGATAGGACTGGTCCTACAAAGCAATATAAGACTCCTTCCATTCGCCTTTTTTTGCACCTGCCCACTAAAGGGCAAAGGCCTATTTTACTTATCTAAAGCCATATCAGAAGTGATTAATATGCTACAACATGCTGAATCATCTAGGCTTCCTAACTGCTGATCCTGAATTAGGGAGATGGGGATGGGGTGGGCGTGGTGTCTAACTAGGAGACCCGGTGGTATCATAGGTTACATGATGGGCTGGTAACAAGGTCAGCAGTTTGACACCACCAGTTGTTCTGTGGAAGGAAGAGGAGACTCCTTCCACTCCTGTAAAGAGCTACAGATTTAGAAACCTACAGAGGCCGTTCTACTCTGTCCCATAAAGTCACTGAGTTGGAATCAACTTGAGGTCAATGAGTTTGGTTTTTGAATTTTTGTCCTTGGTGTTGTTGCTGTATGCTTTCCTGACATATGTACTGATTCATTGACTGTGAGTCAGAATGGACTCAATGGCAGTGGGGCAGGGGGATGGGGCATCTAATTGGAGCAGGTCTGGAGGAGCCCCTCCATTGGAGAACGAGGAGGCTATCTGCTCTCATTAAGATTTATAGCCCCAGGAACTCTAGAGAGGATCTCTGAAAGTCAGAATGGATGTGATGGCAGTGACTTAGTTGGGGTGTGTGTGAGGGTGTGGGGTCTCAAAAGGAGCCCTGGTGGTGCAGAGGTTAAGTGCATGGCAGCTAACCAAAACTTTGGTGGTTTGAATCCCTTAGCCACTCCATGGAAGAAAGATGTGTTAATCTGCTTCCCTTAATGATTTACAATGTTAGAAACCATGCAGGGTACTTCTATTCTCTCCTATAAGATCACTATGAACCGGAATAAATGCTACAGTGATCGGCTTGGTGTGGGTTTGGCTAACAGTCTAATAGAGAGGATTTTCTTTCTCTACCTCGCATTTCTGCGTACAGCTACTTGCGGATGAGAGCGCTTCTTCAAAACATTTGTGGAAAAACAGAAAGAAAGATTGGAATTTTTGCATGAACTCTGCTAAAGTGATACCAGCCATTAGGCCACACTTTCCCTCTCCTTATGTAACTTATTGTTAGGTGTTTAAGATTCTGGAGCTAGACTGCTTTGGATTTTAATTTGAATTCTTCCCCTGGGCAAATCGCTTAACTCCTCATACTTAACGTTTCTCACCAGTGTAACAGAGACTATGGGTTTATAGTAAACGTTAAATGAGTTAATAATGAATGTTGGCTTACAATTCATGCTACTATCATATTGTTTATTTTTTCACCTAAAGTGTAAGTCCATGAAAGAGCTCTTCTTTGAGGTCTGTTTTGACATTTTTGCCAATTTTATTCCACATATGTCTCTAGAATATAGAATAGTGTATGTTTCAAATTATGAGTGAATAAACATTAAATGAAGCCACCCAATCACTATTATTTCTACATTTCCAGAGTTGTGCTCTTGTAAATTGCCACTTTGCTGCTAGGTTAACCATGGGGGTGGGGGTGGATGAGGACACACATCCGGCCTCGAGGGCTTTTTAGCCATCACATTGGGGTGAGTTAGTTAAATGTTTGACCAGTATGCCCCCGGAATGATGTTATATATACCCAGATGGCCCTTGGCGGAAAAATGGATTCCTCACCTCTGCTCTAGGTTCTCAGCGACAACTACATTGCAATACTGGGGAAGCCCACAGCGGGCAGCGCCAGGTAGCGTACTCAAAACACCTTGAGGGAAAGCCCCACTGCACATGCGCAAAGGCAAGGCCGGTCGCGCTCCCGGAAAGTTCCGCGCAGGCGCAGAGCGCCCGTCGCCTGGGTTCCTTCCTGCCGCGCTACCCGGAAGCTTCTGCTCGTCTTCCTCCCCGCGCGGGCTCCAGCTCTGCGCGCGGGGCCGGCTGGGCGAGGAGGCGGGACTCGTCGGCGCTGCCACCGCCGCCGCTCCTCCGCCACTTCCAGCTGTCGCCTGGCCGCCGCTCTCTGAGTGAGTCCGTCCGCGGAGCCGGCGGCGCCAGGTGCGTTCAACCTGCCCGGTCCCGTGTGCCGCCGCTGCCACCGTAGCCGTCCCGGGCTCCTCGCCCCGTTGCCGCGATGGCGACGCGCTCTTGCCGGGAGAAGGCTCAGAAGCTGAACGAACAGCACCAGCTCATCTTGTCCAAGCTGCTGAGGGAGGAGGACAACAAATACTGCGCCGACTGCGAGGCCAAAGGTAGGGCGGTCGTCGCCGCCCCGGGCCGGGCCCGGCCCTCCTGGCGGGTGACCTTCTCGCGGTCTCGGCGACGCGCTCTTGCCGGGAGAAGGCTCAGAAGCTGAACGAACAGCACCAGCTCATCTTGTCCAAGCTGCTGAGGGAGGAGGACAACAAATACT